CCGCACTTTCACGAAGTGTGTGGATGCTGCTCTGGCTCCTCTGCATACTCAATTACATCGACAATTGGTTAATACTAGCTCAATTGGAGCAGATGGCGGCTCGGCGTTGAGATGTGGTCCTCGCCCATATGAGAGAGCTGGGGTTAAGACTAAACGCCAAGAAGAGTGTTCTTTCTCCACTACAGAGAACCACTTATTTAGGCGGCTTAGATCCAAAAGGGAATTCGCAACACTCCAGGGCCTTGAGCTCATGGTGTGATTGCAGGTCGGGCCAACGCCATACACGGCAGTAGATGACGTGAGGCAGCCCTTTCCGGTGTGACACCTGGAGCCTTCCGTCCAGCGAGCGGGGGATAGTGACACAGTTGCTTGGCTGACCGGGGCAGCTGAGTGCCCTCTCCAGCTCCTCCATAGCACCCTTCTTCTTCTTCAGCTTCTTGACCAGAGCATCCACCGCCTTCTCTGCCCACTTCTCTTCTTCATCGCCTTGCTTCCAGCCCAGCAGTCGCTTGACTGCCGGGCTGGTAAAGGAGAAGAGAGAGGTGACGTTCATAGTGGCGCCACGTGCGCCCCAGCCAACGCTGTCACAGTTACTCCGCAGGATTCAGCCACACAGAAACAAGGAATCTCTGCTCTACCTCCAAGAGAATCAAAAACTCAACCACAGTGACACATCAACAGGGGTAATTGCTGAAAGTTGTGTTGTTCCAGATCTAGGTCAGATTGTCAAGTGCACCTGTAAAGAGATTAACAAGTCAATCAGACATTTATACTTTAGGATCTGTTTAAGAGATTCCAGCACTGAGACTAAAGGCTGGAATACACTACACAAATTTTGCCAGATTTTTGGCCTGATTTGCAGTCTGCACAAGTCAACAGTTGTTGTTGAAAGTCAGATACAGACTGTAGATATACACAGAAAATTGTGTAGTGTATGATGTGTAGACTTACATTTTTTAGCTTCAGACTAGTGTTGTCACAGTCCCAAAATTCCAGTAGTCGGTACCTGACTACATAGTAAAATTCCTATGTGCTCTGTACCATAACTAGCCTATTCTAATTATTTAAATGTTATATTTTATTTACTATAAATTAAATATAAATATTACATTTATATTTTATTTACCTATTTGAAAAAATAAATATTAAATAAAATTAGTTTAAATTATTAATGCTCTTAATAATTAGTACATAATACATTAAAACAATTGTACTGTATGTAGCCTTCAAATATTGTTCAATTATGTAAACATTGCATTAAAAGTTCAAATGAAAGTAATAAAATAACAAAGAAACACATTACAGGTAACAGAACAAGTGGCAGGTCTATTGCACTTACACTGCAAGACTTGAGGCACAGATCTATTTTGACACATCAGATTTTTTTGTCCTGTTCGTTTGGTTGGTTATCGTAGTGATACACTGCAATTTCAGATTCAGTCCTGTACTTTAATACAGTCCTCCTCCCAAAACTGAAAAATAAAACTTTTATTCAAATTATAGTTTACAGAAACTAAGCAAACAGCGCTCCAATTATAATCAATTAAATTGATATCACTTCAGTTTAGCTGCAGCACAAACTCACTGACTGAAAGAAAACTCCAGTTGTAATAAAAAAAATCTGTCCATACTGCACAATGAATCCCTTATTTACATCTTGTTTATACTTTTGTTGGTTATAGCGAAACAATGTGCAAGTGAGTAGAGCTCACGCTGAACAAACTGTGACATACTGAGCAGATTCTGATTTACAAGCTTCAGATTGGCCTCTGCATTCACACGCTCAACAAACATGTCTCTGATTGGCTACAAAAAAGACGCTGCAAAACCACATTGTAAATAGAAACCTTTGACGCTCTTCACAGAGTGCTCAAATACAGGAGCATTTGAAAGCAGCTGCCTATCAGCAGGCACTGCATCGACCCCGTACTCGGTACTACCGGGACTGCAGAAAGGCCGGTATGGTTATGGTTTTAAAATTTAAGTACTGACTGACTGAAGTACTGGTACTTTTGACAACACTACTTCAGACTATGGCTGTGTCCAAGAGCTGAAAAATGCTGCCTTCACAACGGCAGTAGGAAAGAAACAAGGCACATCCAAACCCTATGATTGTGTCATATCCTATCTCATTATAAACAAAGCATTTAATCAAGTTCTAAATACGGCTCATTGTGGATCCTATGGGGCAAGGTGACGTCACCTAGCAGCAGTCGTTTGCATATCTTCTTTTCTTTCTTTCTTTTATTTATTTATTGAGCACTTTCATATAAAATATGACCGCCTCCAGTGCAAGACAACTACGCCTAATTTTGCATCATCGCATTGTTGTCACACCCACAGGTGTTCAGTCGACGTGCAGCGAGTGGGTCTGAAGAAGTAGCTGTTTACAATAAGATTGCAATGCCACGCAGATGTGCCGTTCCTGGCAGTGGAAAAACAACATGTTTGAATACGCTGCCGAAGGATCCAGACATCAGGGAAAAATGGATTCAGTTTATTTTTTGCGAACGTCCCAGTCACGTCAGTGTTAATTTATGCGTATGTTCACTACATTTCACTACATTTTGTTTTGAGAACAAATCGCAGTATGATGCTGGCTTTGCCAGAACACTTTTGCTCAAAGATCAAGCCGTGCCGACTATTCTGGACACAACAACGACTCCGCAAACTGTAAGTGATGTATTTCATGTAAAAACTACTAAAATGTTAATTGCAGTTTAATTCATAATGAATAATCATAGTGTTTTTACTTAGTTTGCTTGCATATTGTTTTCAGAGTCCGTCATGCTCAGGCCCCGTGTTAAAACACGTTAGCCAATCATAACAGTAGGCAGTTACACTGAACTCTTAAAGGGGAAAACCCCCCAAAACTGACTGTTGGGAGTCAGAGGATGCAACCCTCTACGCACACCTTGGCAATATAATCGCCATTGGCAAGTACATTTTTTTGTTTACTCGCCAGACTGATATAATATTTTACACACACACACACACGTTTACGTAGCTATCTAAATGGGGACATTACATAGACTTCTATTGTTTTTATATACAGATAGTTATACACTTTTTAACCTAAACCCACCCCTAACCCTACCCCTCACAGAAAACTTTCTGCATTTTTACAATTACAAAAGTAAAAAAAAACTTTGTTTACTTTATTTGTATAACAGTTTTACAAATGAGGACATCCACAAATTGAGTTTTTTGCCGATTTTGTCAGGTTTTGCTCAATTTTGGGTACAAATTTGTCCCCAAAATATGGTTAAGTACACACACACACACACACACACAT